CAAACACATCTTCCAAGAAGTAACTACACAAAAAGTTCCTTTGAAATTTGGTCCACAAATTCACTTAACAAGTTGGAAATTTAGAACCTGCAAGAAAAAGGGAGAACTGGGGACCTCCAATTCTAGCATGTTGTAATTAGTAAGGGGATATACACACATACTAAAATGTTTTTGCTCACAGAAGGCACAGACTATAAAAGGGATAGTCTTTTTAGATACAAATAAAAAACTAGCTGATACCCTCCTTTGTTTTGTGAGCACCATAACCAAGATTAAGTTGAATTTCCATTCATTATCCTGTGACGAAAAAACAGACAAAAACGAAACAAAAAACCAACAATAAAGATAAAAAAAAATTTAATCTGTCTTCTTACATACTTTCCAGACATTATTTGAGATGCAATTACGAAAGAACAAAACTGCCTTAAAAGGGGGCTGATTGATAGCAGCTATCAAAACAATATTCAAGCATGATTTCAAGGATGCCTTCAAGTGTAGAGTTAGCCTTCTTTATCAAAAATCTTCACAACTTCATCAAAAACCTGTAAAGGAAAAAGAAAATAATGTTGTTGGTAAATGCCATCAAGTTGGTTCCGACCCAAAGCGATTCTGTATAAAGTTTCCCAGGAGCAGTGGTGAGCTTGTGGTTCAAACCTTGTGGTTCAAACCGACTTTACAGTCCAGTATATTAACCCACAGTGCCACACATTTTTAAAAGATTTATTGTCAAAATACCATATGGCTAAATTTTTGTTAAAATATAAGACATACAAAATTATGAATATGTTGTAATCAATTTTGTAAGTGCTTTAGGACAAAACAAACTTCTTGATATTATCAATAATTTGATAAAATATAGAGTGAATTACTATCTTTTTATTTTAGTTCTGATTCTGCCACATATAAAGTTTTCTCATGTATCACCTTACCTCTATAGGAGGTAACAATGGATATTAAACAATACTGTCTGTCTATAAGATAAAAAATAAATGTCCAGAAGAAGCAGATTCAAGGACTCAGGGAAAGGGAAAGTAGGTGAATCAACTGACACTTGAAATCATCTCCAGGCACTGAGTGTTGGCAGGCTGGTTCATGACCAAAGAAGAGAGGGCATGAGTTGTGGAGACCCTGCTATATACGGGGGAAACAACCGGTGGCTTCTATGCTAGATCCAGTTCATGTTACAACTTTTAAAATATAAACACATTAAAAGAACAATAATATCTCAAAACGGCAATTTTCCAATACTTAATAACAGACTCTGGGATTAATAAACCACACATTTCTCATGAAAGACAAGCCTGGAGTTGTAAAACCCATTTTAGACACTATTCAAAAAGGAGAAAAAGTCTTTATCTTTCACTTAGTCACCGGTCTTAAAAAACAAACCAAAAGAAAAAATTAAGATCAGTTTTACTCCTGTCTACACCAAAATCAATCAATCACATTTTTTTAGTTTACTTTTCTCTTACAGCAGGCTAGAGATACTCACTTCATCAACAGATTTAGAAGCATCTATTTTTCTAACTTTCCCCATTTCTTCATATAAATCAATAATTGGCTTTGTTGACTGAAGATAGGTCTGAATTCTGCAAAAGAAGCAAATATTGCAATTTTCTAGTTATTCACCCTTTCTCTTTCATGTTAGACAATAGCTCAGAGGACAACACTACACCTGACCCAAATAGTTCACAAATAATCTCTTTAGAGGAACCATTCTACACGGTTTAGCATGACATTTGCTTTTCCTGAGCCAAAGGCGGCAGGCATTCGGTCTGTTATTTGAGCTCCACACTGGGATTGAGGTGGCAGTAGGTGAAAACGGCGAAGTACCTCTTCTCCAAGCTCTCTCTGTTGTCATCAGTCCTACCGCTACTCTTTCCCCTCTCCAGACATCGTTCAATGCAGATCTAAAAAGCAACAAATAAAAGATGATGAAAATCATAGGAAGGTTTGAATTTGCCATCCTTTTAAACTGAAAAGAAATAGTTTAAAGATAATACCCCCTAAAATCTCTGAATTAAATTTAATGTATCTAACTCATTAATCAACAGGCAAAAAAAAAAAAAAAAAACTTTTAAATTTAAACATGTGGTTCAATTTATATAAACCAGGTTAAGTACAGAGCATAAGAATTCATTCATGACTCAGTTTTTCCTGTGTTTTTTGTTTTGTTTTGTCTTTTACTTTTTAAAAACAAACAAACCACAATATAAAGAAGATCTGTATGCATATGATCCCATCTACAATATATTATTAATATATTAGGTATGAACTACATGCTTCAAACTTTGTTCCATTTTTCCTTACTAGTCAATAATTCCATAAATATCCAAATATTTGAGTCAACATATTTACATTTGAATAAAGCATCCCTTGTTAATGGTGAATAAACATTCCTTAGTTATAAAGCTGTGGTAACATTCTAAAGTTAACTTTGAAGAGTAAGTGAAAACATATTTGTGGGGGTTGGAAGAAGAAAGTTAGATTTTAAAACAATGCAAAGGCTGCACTAAGTCTCTCCACCAAAGGCACATTTGCAATTTAACCTAAGAATAGCAAGCCTTCCAGGCACTACTTTAGATTTTTCTTCCTTCAGGATGTTGGTAGTAATTTAATGAACTTTATACAATACAGCAAGGGGTTCTGGTAGTTCAGTGGATCACAAACTCAGCTGCTAGCCAAAAGGTCAGCAGTTTGAACCTACCAGTCGCTCCACAGGAGAAAAATGAGGCTGTCAGCTCCGATAAAGATTTACAGCCTCGGAAACCCTATTCAGGGTCTGGTAGTGTAGTGGTTACGAATCTGGCTGCGAACCTTAAGGACAGCGGTTCGAAACTACCAGCTGCTCCGCGGGAGAAAGATCAGGCTTTCTACTCCCGTAAAGATTTACACCCTCAGAAACCCTCTACAGGGTCGCTATGGGTCGGAACCGACTCGACGGCACTTAACAACAACAACCAACTCCATGGCACATAACCACCACCACATATTACATCAGCTCTCTGAGTCAGGCATTTTAATTACATGATTCCAAGAAATTCATTTAGTTATTCAAAGGCAACTCTGAGTATGTTATCATAAGTGTCAAAAGAAAAAGTCCACTTTCCTGCTTTTCTCTAGATCATTTAACTCTTAGAAGACAAATTAGGATGTTTTATATGTTCCTTAGGAGCCCTGGTGATGCAGTGGTTAAGCTCTCAGCTGCTAACAGAACAGTTACAGTGGTTCAAACTTACCAGTAGTCACTTCATGGGAGTAAGACGTGCCAGTCAGCTTCCGTATAGACTTACAGCCTTGGGAGCTATATGGGGGTGGTTCTACCATGTCCGACAGGGCCACTATGAGTCAGAATCAACTAGAAGGCAACAAGCCGTTGGTTTTTGTTTTGTTTCCTGTCTCTTTAGAGTAGACTGTTTTCCCAATTTCCAGAAATGGGTTTATTTTCCAATAAACAACACCCTAAGGTGAAACACTAATGTTGTTGTTGTTATGTGCCGTGGAGTCGGTTCCGACTCACAGTGACCCTGGTACAGGGTTTCCAAGGCTGTAAATCTTTATGGGAGCAGAAAGCCTCATCTTTCTCCTGCGGAATAGCTGGTAGTTTCAAACTGCCGACCTTGTGGTTCGCAGCCCGATTCGTAACCACTATGCTACCAGAGCTCCTAAGGCGAAATACTGATAGTGCATATTTAAGAAATAGTAACTCAGCTTCATTATGTTGTTAAGTGCTGTCGATTAAGTTCCGACTCATAGTGACTCTGTATTGAGTTTCCATGGAAGGAGTAGATGGTGAGTTTGAACCACCAACCTTGTGGTTCATTATAGCTAACAATTATTGTGCATGTCAATTCTTATTTTAAAAAACCATCAGGCTCTTGTTATTATGAAAATAAAGCAAATTTCAGGTCCACAAGGTTGCTGATACCAAATTGTTTTTAGTATTCCAACAGCCAGCCAGTGCTGTTCAGTTCATCTAACAATGCAAAAAATACTGCTACCACTATGAAATGCAGACCTAAGTTAAAATCACTCTAACTACAAGTTGGTTATAGCCCAGGTGGTCTGACGAAGACTTTCATTACCTCATTATTACAGTCAAAAAACAGAACAAAAGATACATCTGCCTTTCCATCCATGGTCTTGTTCCAACCTTGAAGATTGTCTTGATTTCTTGGAAACCCATCAATCAAGAATTTATTCTTCTGGGTGTTAGCAGTCATTGTCTGATCCATTTCCTAAAGGAAAAAAAAAAGAGTGATGTAGATTTAATATTACATTAACAAAATACCATTTCTTAAGCAGAATGGTAGATTAACATGGCTGTCCCAAACTGGGTAGTTACAGGCATATTTTTTTTCCCGATAGTTTTCTAATTTTCTACAGTAAGCATATAAGATATCAATATAAAATACAAAGATAAAAAAATCACCTTTTTTTCTCTAATAGTTGATATCAGTTATTTACACACTTTCACATACACAGTTATGAATAAACAATAATAAGAGAACAATAAGAATTAACCAACTATTTTTGCTCTAAGCAGTATTTTTGTCTTCTCTTTTCCCTTCTCAAGTCATTTTACTATGCTAAGAAATAAACTGCTTCTACTGATATCCACAGGAGCCCAGGTAGGGTGGTGGGTTACATGTTGGGTTTCTAACTACAAGGTCAGCAATTTGAATGTATCAGCGGCTGGCTCTGCAGGAGAAAGATGAGGCTGTCTACTATCATAAAGATTTCCAGCCCCAGAAACCCCATACAAGGTTGCTGTGAGTTGGTAGATGGGACACAACTACCACCACAGGTTCCCTGAATTCAGCTGTAATTCAGGTACAATAACAAAAAGCTTTGGACAAATAAAAAGAGCATGTTAGCATTACTTATTAGTGCTAAGAGCTCATCTTCTCCCCTTAATGCTTAGACTATTTTCCTGGTTCTTCAAGAAGCAAGTTGGCTGTGAAGAAAAGGAGGAGAATCTCAGATCACTCCCAAATGTGTAGTTTGTTTCTTCTCTCTCTTGGGAAAGTTAACAGATGACTTAGAGTGCTAGGTAGATGACATAATCATTAACCAGGACAGGAAATGAAGGAAGACCATATAGGGATGATACAGTCAACCTCTGACATGCTGATTTTCAGACACTTGTGAGACATTCAGATGGATACCTGGAAGTTAGCTAGAAATATAGGTCTAGAGATCAAAAACAAAGGTTTGTGGTAGACCTATAGATTTAGGTGTTCTAAACATAGTGAGTCCTGGCATGGTGCTGTAAGACAAGCAGTTGACTGCTAGCCATAAGGTTCACAGTTCAAACCCACCAGCCCCCCTTGAAAAATCTATAAAGGGTCACTAGGAGTCAGCTCTTAACAATGACGATGACAACCAATATAGTGAGAGCTGTGAACATGGATAAAACTGTTGAGCAAAAAATAAAGAGTTGAAGAGGACCAAAGATGATCCTTTAAGAAGCATAATATTTTAGGAAATTTTCAGAAGAGCTATTAAAGGAGAAAGAGAAATAGCAGTCACTGAAGTAGGAAGAACATCGAGAGAAATGGTGTCACAGTAACAAAGAAGCAATGAGTTTCAAGAAGAGAATGACTATAAGTATTCCCTAGATTTGATGAAGATCATTTGTAATATCAGCAAGAATAATTTCAGTGGAGACAGAAACAGAACCTAAGTGCAAGGATGAAGCAGGAATACAATGGAGATTACTCTTGAGCAATGCTTAATAAAATACAGGAAGGGAGCTAGAGCCACAGAATGAGGGAAAATATTTACTCTGGAATGGAAGAAACTTCTTCCAATCTCTGAGGTAAGAATGTTTGTGAATAAGTAGCTTCCTCATGTGGATCTGGTTCCATCTAGATGCTAATCTGAGGATAAGTCAAAAAGTATTGCTAGTAGGGTTCCAATTTATACGTTCATGGATTTATTCCAAATGTGTTTAAGCATGTCTTGTGATTAGTGGATGGCTACAGACAAGTTTTCTCAGTAATACTCTGTCTCGTTAGGGTGCCTTCCAAAAAAAAGGTCTATTCAAAACAGTTGAGGAGATCTGCTGGGCCACTTAAATTCAAGGTAGAGAAATCAGTCCAGAAGGTTATGGCGGCTGTTTCTTGAATTCCAAAAGGGTACTCTTTATAGATTTTTCTCAAAGGACACAGGACAATCACAGGGGCTTATATGAATAAGTTTTAAGAACATGGGAAACTACATTGGTGATAAACAGGCAAGGAAAGTTATGCTATTTTTCTTTCCTTTATGACAGTGCACCTGCTCATTCTCACAGGCCGTCCTATGAGAATTTAACTGGGAAACCTTGTCCCATTCACCCAGTATCTGTAATCTTGCCCTTTCAGCCTTCTTTTTGTTCCCAGAACTCAAGGAACATTTAAAAAGAACATGATTTGAGTTCCTTGAGGATGCCAAAACTGCCATTTTGTCATGGTGTAGTTTTAAGAGCTCAGAATTCTTCAGGGAAGGGTTAGAAATGGAAACGCCGCCTTCAGAATTGTATAGACTTAGATGTAGGATGTGTTGGGAAATAGCTTCAGATTATGATATGTTTAATTTTATGATTTTGTACAAAATTTTGAGGTTTTTGTAGCAATAATTTTTTACTCTCTCTCATATTTTCTTACCTATCAAGCTTCAACTATTTTTTGTTGTTCCTACTCTTGTGTTTCTCCTTCATCATTTCTTAAATGTGACAGTAGCTTCTAATGGCTATGCTCTTAGATAGGTACAGTGAAGTTATCAAATCAATGCAAGGTGCCTGTTTTCAGAAGGGATATTTTAGTCTTAGCATTCATGCTAAAGATGGTGACAGAAATCTGAAAGAATGCCAACAACTGGTATGCTCCTGGGTTTGAAAATAAAAAGACACAGAACAAAGGTTTACAAAAAAAAAAAGGGGGGGGGGGGAGATAGAGATGATGACGTGGGGAGAAGGAGTGGCTGGGGACTTTGGACCCAGAGAGGAAGAGGAGCTGTGTGTGGATGACGTGGGGGTAAGGCTTGCGGGGTATACCCTTTGGTTGGTGGATGATGCATGGAGGGGACTGTAACCATGGCAAGGACATGATATACGACGGGATCAATGTGAAGCTAATGTCCTCCCATGTAAACTATCACATAATTCACAATAAAACATTAAATAAATTAAATAAAATAAAAATTTTAAATAGTAGAAAAGAGCAGGGGAAAAAAAGACGAAGAACTTCAGTGATTAGTGACTGGGATCTTAACATTTGTGAGCGACCATCTAAGGAGTAACTACTGGTCTCTCCATGTGTGGAAGAAAGAAGAATGATGAAAATTGAAGATGCTTAGAATCAATCAGTCCAATGGACTTAATGGACCACGTTACCATCAGTATCTACCACACTGAGACCAGAACTAGATGGTACCCAACTACCAGTACCAGTACCAACTGCTCTGAAAGGGATCACATTAGAAGGTCCCGGATACAGTGGAAGACAATGTGGAACAAAACTACAAATTATAAAAAGACCAGACTTATTCATCAGAAAGAGACTGGAGGAACTCGTGACTATGATCCTCTCTCAACCACCCTTTATGTCTGGAACAGAACTCACCTTTGTGGCCAAATTTCAACCAAGGGGTGGATAGGTATACAATGGGACAACACTAGTGAGATATGCTCACCATGGAATGGCCAACCATTTAAGGCAACATTTACCTGAAGACAAGGGTCAGAGGGCTGGGAAAGAAGGTAGAATGGAAATATGAGCCACAGGGAGGAACTGTAGCAACTGTAATTTCATGGAGGGACTGCAATTATTGAGAAGAAGCAAAGTGTGTGATGTGTTGATTATAAAACTGATGATCTGTCTGCAAACCTTCACTCAATTCACAACCAAAAGTTTCAAAAACAAAAAAAAGGGGGGAAAAGGAAGAATGGAAGAGAAAATGTTGGGAAGAAATAGTCAAGTGTCCATGGTGTTGTGATGGTGGTGGTAAGGTGTGGTCAGGTTTGTTCTGACTCAATGCGACCCCGTGCACAACAGAACAAAACACTGCCTGGTCCTGCTCCACCCTCTCAGTTGTTATGTTTGAGACCACTGTTGTTGCCATGGTGTCAATCCATCTTGTTGAGGGTCTTCTTTCTTTTTTGTTGACCCTCCACTTTATCAAGCATGAGTTCCTTCTGCAGAGAATGGTCCTTTCTGGCAACATGTCTAAAGAACAAGAGATGTCTAAGGAGCAATCTGGCCATACTTCTTCCAAAACAGAATTGTGTATTTTTCTGGTAACCCATGATACTTTCAATATTGTTTCATCAACACCATAATTCAGAGGCACCGATTCTTCTATGATCTTCCTTAACTCATCATCCAGCTTTCGCATGCATATGAGGTGACTGAAAATACCATGGTTTGAGTCAGGTGCACCTTAATCCTCAAAGTAAAATCTTTGCTCTTTAACACTTTAAAGAGATCTTTTGCAGTAGATCTGCCCAATGCAATACTACATGTGATTAACTAACTGCTGCTTCCATGAGCATTGATTGTGGATCCAAGACTACCTACTGAGTATTAGCCTGCCCACCATGGGTGATTCCACTGATATTTAAAATACCAGTGGCATAGCTTCCAACATCACAGCAACATACAGGCCACCCCAGTAAGACAAACCGACAGACAAGTAGTAGAAGTTGCATTTATGGATGTTAAATTGAGCTCTACCTTATCACAGACCAAAGTAAAGAGTCCTTGCTACTATCCAATAACAGCATTTTTTCCTCAGGTGAAAGCACAGTTTCCAGTTCTACTTCCTAAAAGAATTCACTACTCCGCTCTTCCGCAAGCAATAAATTCAATACTTTGGTTTGTTTTTGTTTCTTTGTTTGTTTCCTCAAATAAATGGTGGATACAATGTCTGTTTTTTTTCTGGTTTGAATTGGATGGCATTCACACTTCTTACCCTCTTCAACAAGCTGATGGTTATCTCAACTGGCACAATCTTTCCTTCTTTAATGTACTTCTCAATGAGTTCACCATATTGTGAATCTGGGTTCTTTCTTTCATCACGAAGAAGTTCTCCTGCAGAAAGGTGTGTATAGCCATATTTCTGAAAGAAATAACACAAGGAAAAAGCAAAATCAGAATACAATCAACCCAGTGGTAGGACTATGGATTTTTTTCCTTTTGTATGAATGTTTATATTCTCTTTTTTCTACAATAAACAATGTTTTTCTTATAAACTAATTATACAGGGCTGCTATGAGTCAGAACCAACTCAACGGTACTTAGCAACAACAAGAAGCAGATAATAAATTTAAGAAAAGATTTCACACAACCATTTTGTTAAATAAAAATCCTTAATCTACACAGTGCATAGTAGCCTTAATGTTTATATACCATGAAATCACCATAAAATTTATTGAACTACTCAAAGCATATTAAGGATTGGGTACATATTTAACATCTCACTATACAAGGTGGCTTCAGAAAGTTTGTGGGAAAATGGAAAAGAATGGAATTTTCCCAAAAACTCTTTGTGTAAATATGATTAAATGATTTTTTTAAAATGTCTAACAGATATCTGGCTTTCGATTGTGAGGATCATGACAAGCTATGGACAACATTGAGAAGTATGAGTATTCCAGAACACTTAATTGTACTTCTGAGGAATCTGTACCTAGACCAAAGTTGTTCGAACAGAACATGGGAACACTGAATGTTTTAAAATTGGGAAAGGTGTGAGACAGGGTTGTATTCTTTCACCATACTTACTCAACCTGTAT